CATTAACACATGAGGGTGCTCAGAATTTCTCTGAAATTGGGCTATAAAAATACAGAATTATCTACAAAAGGAAAATTTGCTATTATTAGCACCTGTGCCTTAAAATTAAACCACAAGCACAGGGAATATTTGCATTTCCTCAGTTCCTGGTATAACTCCTTCTGCACTAGAAATCTGTTAAAAATAATGATAAAAACTCCATGCATATCAAGTGAATATTTTTATTTCCATCACTAGAATTCCAGGAAAAAGCAGCATCAATTTCTAAGATTATCTTCAATTAGGAAATACCTAATAACATAATTCTTGTTTAAACAACACTGGTTGTGAGGGAAGGGGGAGAAGAGGAACCTGTGATTCTGTTTTCCACTGATTCATTTTCCAAGTTAAAAAAAATTCCAAGCAGAACTCCAGCTTCTATAGAAATATCATGAATAGAATTAATTTTTAAATAGGAGAATTAATTTTAAAGTTGGTTGTAAGGAAAGAGGGAGCTGGATCAAAATTTGTTTGGGCTATATAAAAATCTATATAATAAATATAAACATTTTTATCCAAGGATAAAAAGCACTTTGAAATTTTGAAATTTATATAATCAATATAGAAAATTAGTTTATAATTCATATTAAAAAATTAAATATTTTATAGATATTTATTTATAATATATAAAAAGGTATATAATCAATATAAACAATTTTAGGCAAGGATAAAAAGCAGTTTGAAAGTGCACTTTTAGAGCAAATAATACTGAAATTCCTGAATGGATTGGCTTGGAAGGGACATTAAAGATAATTTCATTTATTTATTTTAAAATTTATTTTATTTTTTAATATTTTTAAATTTAATTAATTTTTTAAAATTTAAAAATTTAATTTTTTTTTACTTTTTACTTTATTCTTTTATATTTTTATCTATTTATATTTTTATTATTTATTTATTTATTTATTCATTAAAGATGAGCCTTTGCCATGGCAGGGAACCTTCCCCTGTCCCCACGCTGGCCTCGGGCACTTCCAGGGCTCCAGGGGCAGCCACAGCTGCTCTGGGAATTCTGTGCAGGGCTTCAGCACCCCAAATTTCAGGGATTTTTCTAAAACCACTCCTTTCCTTATTTCCTTACAGAACCAAAATCCAATATCTTCTACTGCAATATATGATATAATATGTACTATATATCATACAATATATCCAATATATCTAATATATCCAATATTATATCTAATATATTCCAATATATCTAATTTTCCAGTTCTTCATGTTGCCAATTGTGCCACTTCTCCACTTCTTGCCTACACCCAGCGTTGGCATTGATGGAAAACACATGCCTAGAATCTGGCTAAAATCCCTAATGCAAACTGAGCATTTGCTGTTAATTATATTTTATAAATTAAATTTTTTTATAAAAATATTTAGCATATTTTTATCCTCTTCATTGCCTGAAATTCCCCACCCATGAACATTTTCTATAGATTTGTTATTTGTTTATACTCTGAATACTGTGACAGGCATTTTGGATATAAAAATGATGTTAAAAGCACCTGTTGCATTGACAAACCCATCTACACTGAACCTGCAGCTATTTTTAAGTTGAAACTTAATTGTTATTAAACATCCCTCCACCCCATCAGCTTTTTAATCAAAGTATGAAATTATTTCTCACTGAAAAATGAAGCTGAAACCTCTTTAAAACACTGACATCCGTATTTACTGCCTGTTTCATCCACCTGCCCATTTATATTCTTACTAAAATATACTATTTATATTCTAATAGCAGAATGTAATATTTATAAAAATGTTAGATATAAATATTAATGATAGAAATATTAGAATAGAATACTTATATTCTAATATTATAATCATTTATATTTATATAATATTTCTATATTTGCATCTGCCCATTTATATTCTTGTTACAAATATTCTTTTCCACTGGTTCTCATTTCCCATCATGATCTATTACACCCAAATTATTCAAAATAACCCCCCAAGGTCTTTCCCTTCTAAGTTTGGGGTGTAAAATAAACGAGCAAATTCTGCCAATTCTCTCAAGCTCACACCTGGTACCTGCAGTTTTTTAACTCCTTTGAAGAGGAGATTGACCTCTCCTCACCTCAGAAAATGGGGTAAAACTGCAGCAGCTCCTCAGGCTCCCCGGAACACCCACGAGGAACACACACAACCTTAGGACAACATTCCTCTGACCTACTTTAAGCAAGAGATGAGTCACAAAACAAAAAAATAAACCCCTTTATTCCTCTGCCTGCCTCAAAGCAATTCAAGGTGAAGCTGGCTGTAATGAAATGTCAAGTCACATAAAGCTCATCTCCCTTAAATGATTAAAATAAAATAAAATAAAATAAAATAAAATGTCTGCAGATTTCCAAACTGAGCATTCAGGTGTTGCTTCCCTGGTTCTACAAGTCACCAGGAAATATTATTTTGAGCTCTACAAGCAACAGAGAAACTCAGAAACAAGCTCCAGTTTATCCTGAGTAGAGCCATTGGGGTTGGAAGAAATTTGAAGATCATCAAGGAATAACAGTGAAGCAGCAGAGTTGTTTTTCTTCACCAAACTCCATTTTTTACCTCACCTTTAAGGGATAAGATATTTTAAGGGATCCTTCTGTCTCTCCTTTGCTCTGACCCCAGTTCTGTTGGAAAACATCAAAATATTCTTCTAGAATAGTTTAAATGTGCTTAGGTTTGGGTTTAGGTTTAGGTCAATCCCTGCTGCTGAAGTCCAAGGTGTTGTGCCAAAATGCCAAGCCATGCATTATAATCTCCCTCCAGTTCAACAAACCATTTAAAAATATTTTTATATTTAAAGATTCAGACTTGATTTTCCTGTGTTTGGCAACATATTTAGGTTAAAAATTCAAATATACCTGGTTTAGAACAATGGAATCCAAGCATGGGTGGATTTTCCCTACCCCAAAAATCCTTCCTTCTCTCCTTTGCTACCTCTGACCCCAGTTCTGTTAGAAAACATCAAAATATTCTTCTAGAATAGTTCAAATATGCTTAGGTTTAGGTCAGTCCCTGCTGCATCACTGATACAGAAAAGAAATCACAGCTCTGGAACAAAATATTTTACATTTCTGAAGGACATCTTGCATCTTGCTGTTTCCAGACCTTGGGTTACCTGGAGGGTGATGCCACTGAGCTTTATGAAAATAAAAGAGTGTTTGTGTCTCAACAGTGCCTGCAGGAGAAAAAGTCTCAAAAAATATTACACCCATATGGTGCAATGCTGGTTTCACACTGCTCTGGAAATGAACTTCTGAACTTCTTGATTTCTGGTGTTTTGTCCTTCCCTTTCTCAGCGTTTTCATGGGGGATTAATCTCAGTTATTCCTGCACACAAGTGACCCCCAGGACCTTTAATACAGCCACGTGTAGATTGTAAAAACAGTTTTATCACTGCTCTCCTTCCTGCTCATCCACCTGCAGCACCGAGGTTTTCCTGCCAGAAGCAGCTCCCCCAGCCCTGATAAAACTCAACAATAATATTTATATTTGAGGCTGTCACAGACCAGGTAATGCCAGGAGTTCAGGGAATGGTTACTTGTTGGAATCCCAAATGCAAAAAACTCAGAACTTTGGGGCTGGAAGCCAAAGCTTAGAATTAAACCCAGGATTTGATCTGAGACCTTGGAAAAGGCTTCCAAACTTAAGTGCTAGAAGCAAGAATGTAAATTTAGAGTTTAAAGCAGAGAAAGGTTAAGCTAAGTAAAGGAAAGGTTGAAGTTTTGAAGTTTAAGATATAAAAAAATAAAAGTAACTACAAAAGTAAACAGAGAAATTAGAATGCAGCACTGTAGGTTTGTGTGTCATAACACAATTAGCTAAGAATAATTAGCTACAGCTTACTCTGTAGCATAAGACAAAATATTTAAAGATTGAGTCAAAACCATAAATATCCTTATTAACAGTGTTTTATTAGTCAATAACTCCTGAAAAAGTTTTATAACTAAGGGTCTTGTGACCTTCTAAACCATGCTGTAACAATGTGAGCCAAACTCACCCTTCCTACCCATGCAAAAATCAAAAAATAAACACACCATCAAAAACTACTCAAAATTCCCATCTCTAACTCTTTCTAAACTCCTTCAAAAATCCCCATAAATCCTCCAAAAATCCCCATAGTTACTGACATCTTATTTTGCTTCCCCTGCCACATCCCTCCTAATTTTCAGACAACAGACAGGGATGAACACTGGGAAGGATTTGCTCCACCAATTCTTAAGCTCCTAAAAAGATTAAATCCCTAAAACCCCCCAGCAGATGGGCTCTGGATCAGCTGAGAGCTTTTCCTTTGGTTTCTGCTCTGCTGCCACAGATTTTGGCAATTCTGTACCTGAATAAGAGCTCAGGTAGGTGCTCAGTGTTTATCTAGGTCAAGATGAAAGATCAAACCCTTCCTCTCACTCTTATTATTTCATATTTTCCCTTTGGAGAAAAGCATTTGGAAGGCCTCTGGCTCTTGATGAGAACCAGAATCATGATGAAAAACTGAAGGCAGAAATGTGGAACTCCTGCTCCAAAACAATATTTCTGTCTCTCTCCATAGTCATACAAAAACCACCAAATTTCCCCAAATCCAAGGGGAGGGCACAGCCAAGGAAATGTGACCTTTAAATAAAAGCTTTGACTCAGAAAATATTCTAAAACTTGTCATTTCCTCTTTTCTAGAAAAGCTTTTATTTTAGCTGCTCTAGAGTGAGGGTTTCTTTGATGCAAAAATTAAATTAATTAAAATTAAATTAAATTAAATTAAATTAGCAGAATAAAGACAGGAAATACCATTTGCAGGAAAGCTCTTTTATATAAATGTGAGAAATTCACCAGAATCTCTCACATTAATATAAAAAAAATACTGACTTAACTCCTTCCATTATTTTTCTTGAATGAATTTTCAAGTTTTTCAAGCGCTGGAAGTGCCAGAAAAGTTCACAGCAATACAAACATCACAAATAAATGATAAAAGTTCCCCTCTGTACCTTATTGAGCTTGCCAAGGGAAGAGATCAGATCTGCCCATTCACTGGATGACTCAAAGTTCCTCAAAGCTTTCTCAATTGCTGAAGAATAATTCCTGTATCTGTAATCCCCAAGTAAATCCTGCTCTTCTGGATCCATCTTGGCTGCTCATAGCAAGGTGGAGCCTCCTGGAAAACTCAGACATGCAAAGAGTTACAAAAATCACCCAAATTTCAGTTCTGCCACACCTGAGATCATAAATATGGAGAAGCACAGGCAGCACAATAAACAGGTCAAAATTTCAATACAAGGTTAAAAATAATTCCCAAAATAATTCTGACTCCCCACTGACTTTTCCAAAAGACTTTCAGTCACTTTTTCCTGTTTCTGGAAGGTGTTTTCCCATTCCATACACAGTAACAAAGGGGAGGATCCCAAAGTTTCCTTCCAAGGAGTTGGGAATTGCCTTTCTAACTCATCCCTGTGCTCTGCAAGGTCACCTGGAGCACGGAATGGGGAATATTCCCTGTGCAAACACAGCCCCCAGGGGAATTCTGCTCAAGGGCTCTCAGGCCTCAGCACAAGGAGCTCTCAGAGCTCTGCAGCTCCACTTGGCAGCAGCACATGCTCAAGTGAAGTCCAAGGTGTTGTGCCAAAATGCCAAGCCATGCATTATAATCTCCCTCCAGTTCAACAAACCATTTAAAAATATTTTTATATTTAAAGATCAGCTGTTCAGACTTGATTTTCCTGTGTTTTGTAACATATTTAGGTTAAAAATTCAAATATACCTGGTTTAGAACAATGGAATCCAAGCATGGGTGGATTTTCCCTACCCCAAAAATCCTTCCTTCTCTCCTTTGCTACCTCTGACCCCAGTTCTGTTAGAAAACATCAAAATATTCTTCTAGAATAGTTCAAATATGCTTAGGTTTAGGTCAGTCCCTGCTGCATCACTGATACAGAAAAGAAATCACAGCTCTGGAACAAAATATTTTACATTTCTGAAGGACATCTGCATTCAGTCTCCTGCTGTTTAGGACATAAAAATAAACCCAAGCCATCCTCCATGTCCTTTAAAACATTAAATATGTTGTAATAAACAACTTTAACTCCACCAATAGATGGGCTTTGGTAAGAAACTCTCAAAACCAGAAAAATGCTGGATGAAATGAAAAACCAGAAAGTATTTTAAGTGCAGGTTTAAGGCACCTTTGCACTCCCCTGAGCAGGATTGAGGCATTGCCAATAAAATCACTCTGTGCCAGCCAAGCCAGATCCACCTCCACGGAAAAATAAAATTATCACACAATGTCATCAGGGCCAGATTGGGCTGGTTTGTTTGGCTACAAAGAGGATTTAATTCTGTTTTTATCAGGATGTTTGCAGTGCTGCTCACAGCAGAGAGAGTGAAATCAGGGAATAACATTTCATTGATCTGGGATCCAGCTCTGCTTGTTCCAAGGGGAAAAAAAAAAAAAGTCAATCCTCCCATAAAAGCCAACAAAGTGGAAAAGCTGCAAGATACTGTCAGCAAAAATCAGGAGTAATCTGATACAAACACTGGGCAAGAAATGGAACTCTATTTCCCTCATCTCATCTAAGGATCTTAATAATGGGATTGTTTCCACTTCTGAGGAGCTGGGAAGTTTTTCCAGCAGCTCTCTGCCAAGTCAGGGCTGCTGCCACTTCCATGGAGAAGAGGTTTGTCTGGGTCACTCAGAATCAGGCAGCTGCTTTGCTGACAGCACACATCAGCTCTCAAGGGATTTAATCTGGATTTCTGCAGTGAAAAGACAGGTAAAGGGTTGACTTCCACCCAGGAAAGCAGGGATGGCAGTGATGATTCAGTGTGGGTTGATATTCCTGCACCTCAGCCGCCAGCAAGGTTGGATCAAATCCAATAATCGAAATAAGGTAAATAGATCTTGTTTGTGCTTGGACACAAAGGCAGGAAAATAAGTAATAACATAAAATAATTAAAAACCATACAAAAGCCACTTGCCAGTGACCTTTAGGTGCGTAACCCAAATCCCAGGTGACAAACTTCCTCAGCAAATCCCGATGTAAATAATCATTCATCACCTTCCACCACTGATGCTGCCAGGCTCTTTTCAGCGCTCAGGACGAGGAGCGATGGCCATAAATTAAAACAGGAAATTCCACCTCAACCTGAGGAAGAGCTTCTTCCCATGGAGGCGGCGGAGCACGGGGAGAACCACGGAATATGCAGAGCTGGGGAAGATCCATCAGGATCACCCAGATCCTGCCCAGACCCCCCACAATCCCACCCCACACATCCCTGGCAGCGCTGTCCAAGGAGCTCTCAGGGCCGTGTCCATTCCCGGGAATGCCGCGGGTGTCCGTGTTCCGAGCCCTCCTGAGGCACCTGCTCCAGGTGAGCGCGCCGGGGCAGGGCTGGGCAGGGCTGGGCGATCCCCTTCCAACCCCGCCCGTTCTGCGATCCCGGCCTGGGCCAGCGCTGCCCCCTCAGCCGGGTCCCCTCTCGTTCCCTCCCGTCCCCTCCCCGCCACCGCCTACCTGCGCAGGGCCCCCGCACCTCCCGGGGCCGGCGGCGACGTGTGGGGAAGCGGGCGGCGGCGGGGCGGGAGCGGCTCCCGCAGTCCCTATGGAAACGCGCCCTATGGAGAGCCGCCCCTGTGGAAATGTGCCCTATGGAAAGCCGGCCCTATGGAAGCCCAGCCTACGGAAGCCCGGCCCTATGGAATGCCGCCGCCCCCGCCCGCGCCGCCGGGCCCGCAATGGGGCCGCACCACCGAGCTCCGTGCGGGGAGCGCCGAGGCATTGCAGTGCGGGAGGACTGCAGCTGTCTCTACAAGCCGAGTCCGCCGGCGTTGTCACCCGATGTCGTTGTTACGCGCTGTCGCTGTCACCTTTCTCCCGGTGTCACCCTCTGTCGCGTCGTGCCACAGCCCGCAGCACGTCACCTGCCTCCCCCCCCCATAGGGAGATGGTACAGCCCGGCGGACGGCCAGGGGCGCTGAGCGCCCTCTGGCGACGCGGATGGGGACGGCAGCTCCGCGCTCCCCGCTGCGGCCGCTCCGCCCCGGGAGAGCCCCGGGAAACACCGGGAGAGCTCCGGGATGCACCGGGAGAGCTCCGGGAAATACCGGGAGAGCCCGGGGATGCACCGGGAGAGCTCCGGGAAATACCGGGAGAGCCCGGGGATGCGAGAAACACGGCTCACAATTTAAAATTTTTATAAAAGTTTATTAAGGAATAAAATCGAGCGCTGGGTGCTTGGCTATTTACCAAAAGCACGCGGTTAACTTAAACCATGTTTTGTTTTAATGTAACATTTATATTTTTATATGTTATGTATTTTATATATTTATATATAATTTTATATTTTTATATATTTTTATATACATTAAATTTGCTGTTACATTACAGGGTACATGCATATTCATAAGTTCATACATAGTCAAACATTCCTTTGAGTTTAGATGCTCTTTTGTTTGGTTTTAACCTTTGACTTGTCTTCATGCCGTCTTGTAGATGAAACTAAAATATTTTATTTCTTCTTCTGTTTCCATCCTACAGTATTTTCACTCCCTGATAACGAGGGTCAGTAAATTCTTCTTATTTTTTCAGCACTTTGATTTCTGTTTCTGTTATCTTGTCTTTCAGAGAAGATAGTCCCCAAATCTGGGAAGTCACCTAATTATTTTGCACCTTTTTCTGAGCTAGTGACATGAAAAAGCACTTCAACATTTCACAGTCTCTATTATGCTATGGTCTCTAGCTATGCTATGTTACACTACTATGTGGATTTAGGGAAAAAAAGCATTTTTGGGACATTTTTATGGTTTTTACAAGAGATTGGGTGTCACATTTGTACAGGGCTGGAGTTCCATCTAAGGAACTGTCTGTTTGCTTGGAAAAGGTGATTGTGCTGGAGGAATTTTAGTCCAGTGACAGCAAACTAAGGAACAAACCAAACAAAGAAAATGAAAATATCCATGGGAAGTAAAATACAGGATTGTGCCTGAAAAGGATTCATCTACTGTGGAAACATTATTGAACCTCAGATTCTCTTCCCCTTCCCTTCTTGTTTTTTTCCTTTGCCATCCCTTCCCCTCTTCCCTCCATTTTCCCCATCCCCTTTTTTTCTTCCCTCTTCCCCTTCTCTCTCTTTTTTTTAATTTAATTTTTTATTTTTATTTTTTTTTAACATGCAGGCAGAAAATCCTGGTTGCTCAAAGCAGCTGGAATAAAAAAAAAAATCAAGGGAAATGCATTAATTCAGTTATTCAAGGTGAGAGAAAAGAAAACTGTTCAGATTTGGATGATACTGTTTCAGCAATGACTCCTGATAAGTTACATTAAGTATTAAGTAAAATTACATTAAGTACAATAAATATATTGAGTGTTACATTAATATACTGTTTTCCTTTCTTGGTACCACCTGCCTCTCCCCTTCCTTGCTAAATTTTAGGAATTTGACCTTTCCAAACTGCAATGCCACCAATTCAAATTTCAATTTCTAAATTTTAGAATTATTCTTGGAAATGCTGGTCAGAACTTCTAAGCATGTGTCTGACTGAGCAAAGAATTTGTATTTGTGATGATCTCATTAAGACACAACATTTATGTCCTAAAATATGGTGCATTTCTTAGGATGTTTTCCAATTACTTTCTCAGGGGTAGAGCTGGATGATCTTTAAGATCCCTTCCAACTCAGATATTCTGTGATTCTGTGGTAGTGACATGGCATGGAAAGACCAGTAAATCCAACATGATTATTTAATTATTATTTAATTATTTTTTCATTATTATTATTAACCCTTAAACTTCACAGCCAGCAAGGGCACCAGAATCTGAGAGGCACAAAACAATTCCCACACAACAGACCCGGGAGAGAAGCAGGGGAGGAAGTTAAAAAACAAAGAGAAAGGAAATAAAGAATTGATAAATTTGGGTTGGACATTGCAAGTTCTGTGCAAAGCCCTGCCCTGGCACTGTGCCCTATCCCAGGGCACATTCCCTCTTCCAGAGGCAGCAGCTGCTTCTCCTCCTTCCCTGAGTCCCCCACCACAGCTGCAAAACATCTGTGCCCTGTCCTTCCTTCTGTTCACCCCATGGGAGGCTGATAAAAATGACCAGATAATGGTCATAAATTAAAAAAAAAAGAAGCCATAAATGGCTTTTGCATTTATGTATTAGCTTTTGCATTTTATTATTGATCATAAGTATTTAGATATGGTACAAATTATAACTTTTTTAGCTGCTTGTTAATATAATATAAAATATACTATAATAAAATAAATATAATGATAATATAATATATTTACTATCCTTAAGTATGTGCTGTATAGCTCATAGAAATAGTAGTGTAATAAATATGATATTTCTGTATCACTTATAGAAATAGTGGTGTGATGAATGTATTGTACTCTAGACCTTAGCAAAACATAAGATGCTAAAAGGCTTTTTGTAACGAAAGGAACAGTGAAAGCCATCCACTGACTGAGCTCTCCAAGTGATAACAGTGACACAAGACACTGGAGACCGGGGAAGAGCTCGTTAACTCCTCCTATCAGAAAATGTGATACAACGGGAATGAAACCACAGGAAGGAATAAAATTTATTGACTTGATCTCGTACAGATAAGTCAGGGTGGGAAACTGAAACACAAAGAGCCCCTGCAGCATCAAAAACTCTCAGGAATATTCAAATCATGTATAAGCTAATGAATATGCATGTACCGCCAGCAATGTTACTGTACAGAGAAAACATGGTTTTAAGTTTTTTGGTGCTCTTTGGCTGTTCATCAAAAGCATCCCAGTGCTAGAAATATTGTCCTTTTTAATCCTATTATTAAGTGTTTAACATTTCTAAGGAGCAAACTCTGTTTTTCACAAAGTTGTTTGGGATCAACACCCCTGCGAGGAATGGCAGTGGCTCTCCAGCCATCACCTCCCACTTTGCCTCCTCACCCTGACATGCAGGAAGCTGGTTTAAAAAGAACTTAATTGAAGAATTTGAAATCTGTACTGAAGTATCAGGGAATGGTTTGGGATGGAAAGGAACTTAAAGATCGCCTAATTCCAGCTCCCTGCTACGGGCAGAGACACCTTCCACTATCCCACCCTGCTCCAAGCCCCATCCATCCTGGTCTTGGACACTTCCAGGGATGGGGAATTTATAATATCTCTGAACAACCTGTGCCAGGCCTCACCACCCTGACAGAAAGAATTTCTTCCCAAAATCCAACCCAAACCTGCTCTCTTTCCAATTCAGACCACTCCCCCTTGCTCTCCCTATGGAAAGTCCCTCTCCAGATCCCCTACAGCCCCTTTAGGCTGCTCTGAGGTCACCCCAGAGGTTTCTCTTCCCCAGGCTGGGCTCTACACAAAGTTTTACAGCTCAACAAAACACTCCAGCACGAGTTTGACAACTTGCAAAACTAGCAAACCTAGAATTTGGGTGAAGCTAGAACAAAACCCAGACCAACAAAGCAGATCCTGAATTAGACTTAAGCAGGATCTTTACAGATCATAGAGGACACTTAAAAACTAAGTCATATTTAGCAGTGGATATTTCCTGGCTGTGGTCAGGGTATCCAGGATTCTTCCAGGCAGGTCCTTGCACTAAACAAGGCCAAGGTGTGTTTGGAATGTTTGGAGATGGCACACAGATGGACAGCCAGCTTCTGAAGCTCAGTCACTCAGGCAGCACTTGAGGGATGAAGAGTCAGGCAGGATTCTCCACTGCTGGATTGTCTCTTAAAGCTCTGACTAAATCCAAGAGCCCAGTTTTGCTGAGATCCCAGTAACACAACTGGAAGGGCACACACAAACTGGTTTTTCTCATCAGCAGGGTTGGGTTACAGTGTAGCATCCAAAACTTTCACAGCTTTTGTTCCAGTTCTTGGCTTAGTTTTTCTTCTGTCAGGTCGGGAATGAAGGCACTTGAGATTATCCAGGGTTCCCACAGCTCTGGATACTTTCCAGGTCTGGATCCTGCTGGAGCACCTCCACTCTCAGGTTCAGCATCCGGTCTGTGACCGCTGGTGATCCAAGGAATAATGCACAGGATTGCAGAGGTTGGGTACTCCCCATGAATGGCTGGAAACACCTGTTGGATTTTCCTGCTACCATCAGACCCTCCTCAAGCTTCTTTAGGACAAGAAATCCTCATTATAGGAATCAGGGAATTCTATTAAAGCCTGGATCAAGCTGGGGGTGAGGGGAAATTCGAGTTTCAGCCTCCTGTACACAGAGGGGTCCCCTGAGATTTTGGAGCTGAAGCTGCCCCAGGATAGGAGCGGGAGAGGGAGGACAAGGCAAAGGGCTTTGCAGGGCTCCTCGGGGAGCTGGAAGAGATTCCTGCACGTGCAATTAGTGGGATGGAGAGCAGATTAAAACCAGATTATTGTCGCTGTAGCTGAGCAGGAGCTCCCTTCTGCTCCAAATGTTGCTCACATGTGAGACAGGGTGGCCTTCATCTCCCCAAAAGTAATTCAGGGAAGCACCTGCCCCATCAGCCAGTTTAAATATTCACATCATTTTTGAAAGTATTATTAAATTATAAAATACAATTCTATTTATCCATTGTTCTTCCTTTTCTTTCCTTTTTTTTTCCCCCTTGGTTGTGGCATAGTTTTGAATCCATGCTGGAAATTTGGAATCATTTGCATGGTAACCATGCAAATACCAGGCACACATCCTGCTTTTGAACAAGGCGTTTCTTCTCTGGTGCAGTCTGGTTGTGAAATTCTGACCTTTGTTGGATTCGTGGTTGCAACTGAACTCGCTGGGCAGAGAAAGAGGCTGGAAAAATCCTTTTCATACACAAAGCACAGCAGCAGGAGCAGCAACAACAAAAGGCAGGGTAGGAACACATCCCATGGGAAGCTTTTCCAAAGGTGCTGGAGCCAAGGGATGGATGGAGTCAA